GTTCAGATATCTCTTTGAAAATTCTACTGTCTGTAGCTCAAAATTGAGTGAAATCTTTGAGAAATGCATGAAATATACTATTTAGTCGTTGACATGTCAGTATGACAAAACAGTTTATTAAATATTTTCAGAATGGAAATAATAAATAATGTTAGAGATATTCTTAGAACGAGGAAATTTATCGATTTCCAGTAGGTAACGAAGTTCCACAGAAGAGCGAAAATGTTTTCAGATAATATTGGGACATGCGAACCTCAGTCTCCATCTCACAAAGTCGTCGTACAAAAGTTTTTAAGCTTATAACTCTCTGGCACGTTGCTTGTAGAAACTTGTCGAGACTTACAGCTGATAAGGATTAGAATAAGTTCAAATTAGTTTTATTCCAACAAGTATTTGAACTAATAGCAGCCTAATTCTATGCAACCAATTTATTTTGAGACATTTGTTGAAAGACTTTTCGAAGCATCTTTGAATAGAACATCTGTATTATTCGTCGCAATCTAGGCTTATTGATAAATGTGCTCAAATTCTTTGAAACATATCGGTTAAAAGTGGAGACCGTGTCATTAAAAGTGCAGCTGGAAATCTTTTTTTTCATTTTCTTTCATATTAACTAAACAATCAGATACTCTTTAGACAAAAATAAAATGTGCGAAACAGCCTATGGGCTTTGAGTAATGTTCGATAAAATATATTCTGAAAACATTTGTTAACAAAATCAATATCCGTAGATAACCTGCTAGTATTCATATGTTGAGAGTACATGGCAACAAGATTCAACCATTTATTCATGAACTTTCTGTCAATCGTAAAAGACTTTCAATGAGTGCCTCAACACAAATCGATTGCGTTAAGTTAGTCACGCTTTATGGCTCAAAAAAACATACTGTAATAGTGAGTCGATTGCATCTCATTTGAAACGTTCTTCCTTCATTTGTGGATAGGTCCCATATAAGTCAAACATAATTGAGAATTAGAAAAAATCGCGGGACAGACTCTGCGAGGATCCAAGGCAGAACGCTTTTTCGAAAGTGAAAAGAGATCAGAAAAAATTGGCTCCTGAAATCAGATCTTCGAGCGATGGAACAGAATGGATAGCGACAAAATATCAGGCATGGCGAGTGTTTGTTTCGTGTAAGTCTGATAGATAGTGTATTCGTGACTAACTAGACTTCTTCGCACTTCTTAAATATGGGTGCAAAATTAACAATCTTTTGGAAAAGATCTCGATCGTTTGTAACAACTTCTGCTATACCATACACAAAAAAAGAAATACAGTATATTTGTTCTTGGCATATACTACGCGCTTATGCTATCGAATGATACACTTTCTTTCGAAAAATAAATTATTGTTCAAAAATGTTTAGTTATTCAGTTAGATACTTCGTCAAATAAAGATTTGCAATACTTGTTCGTAATTTTCAAAAGACCGAAGCTATCTGATGCATGCTTCATCCTCGT